CCCTCTGCTCCCTGCCCATTCAAGTCTCTATCTAGATAACATCTTAAATGACGCTATCGTGCCCACCTCTACCACCTCCGCTGGCAACGCGTTCCAGGCACCCACCACCCTCTGCATAAGGAACTTTCCACGCATATCTCCCTTAAATTTATCCCCTGTCACCTTGAAATCGTGACCCGTAGTAATTGAGTCCCCCATTCTGGGAAAAAGCTTCTTGCTATCCACCCTGTCTATACCCCTCATGAATTTGTAGACCTCAATCAGGTTCCCCCCTCAACCTCCGTCTTTCTAATGTAAATAATCCTAATCTACTCAACCTCTCTTCATAGCTAGCACCCTCCATACCAGGCAACATCCTGGTGAACCTCCTCTGCACCCTCTCCAAAGCATCCACATCCTTTTGGTAATGTGGCAACCAGAACTGTACGCAGTATTCCGTGTGTGGGGTCGAACCAAAGTCCTATACAACTGTAACATGACCTGCCAACTCTTGTACTCAATATCCCATCCGATGAATGAAAGCATGCCGTATGCCTTCTTGACCACTCTATCAACCTGCGTTGCCACCTTCAGGGTACAGTGGACTTGAACACCCAGATCTCTCTGTGCATCAATTTTCCCCAGGGCATTTCCATTTACCGTATAGTCACTCCTGAATTGGATCTTCCAAAATGCATCACCTCGCATTTGCCTGGATTGAACTCCATCTGCCATTTCTCCGCCCAACTCTCCAATCTATCTATATTCTGCTGCATTCTCCAACAGTCCCCTTCACTATCTGCTACTCCACCAATCTTAGTGTCATCTGCAAACTTGCTAATCAGACCATCTATACCTTCAGATCACTTATGTATATCACAAACAACAGTGGTCCCAATACGGATCCCTGTGGAACACCACTGGTCATAGTTCTTCATTTTGAGAAACTCCCTTCCACTACAACTCTCTATCTCCTGTTGCCCAGCCAGTTCTCCATCCATCTAACTAGTGCACCCTGGACCCCATGCGACTTCATTTTCTCCATCAGCCTACCATGGGGAACCTTATCAAACGCCTTACTGAAATCCATGTATATGACATCTACAGTCCTTCCCTCATCTATCAACTTTGTCACTTCCTCAAAGAATTCTATCAAGTTGGTAAGACATGACCTTCCCTGCACAAAACCGTGCTGCCTATCACTAATAAGCCCATTTTCTTTCAAACGTAAATAGATCTTATCCCTCAGTATCTTCTCCAGCAGCTTCCCCAACTCACGTCAGGCTCACCGGTCTATAATTACCTGGATTATCCTTGCTATCCTTCTTAAACAAGGGGACAACATTAGCAATTCTCCAGTCCTCCGGGACCTCACCTGTGCTCAAGGATGCTGCAAAGATATCTGTTTAGGCCCCAGCTATTTCCTCTCTCACTTCCCTCAGTAACCTGGGATAGATCCCATTCAGACCTGGGGACTTATCTACCCTAATGCCTTGTAGAATACCCAACACTTCCCCCTTCCTCATGCCAACTTGACCTAGAGTAATCAAACATCTATCCCTAACCTCAACATCCATCATGTCCCTCTCCTCAGTGAATACCGACGCAAAGTACTCATTAAGAATCTCACTCATTTTCTCTGACTCCTCTCATAACTTCCCTCCTTTGTCCTTGAGTGGGCCAACCCTTTCTCTAGTTACCCTCTTGATCCTTATGTATGAATAAAAGGCTTTGGGATTTTCCTCAATCCTGTTTGCTAAAGATATTTCATGACCCCTTTTAGCCCTCTTAATTCCTCGTTTGAGATTGGTCCTACTTTCCCGATATTCTTCCAAAGTTTCGTCTGTTTTCAGTCGCCTAGACCTTATGTATGCTTCCTTTTTCCTCTTTGCTAGTCTCACAATTTCACCTGTATCCATGGTTCCCTAATCTTGCCCTTTCTATCCCTCATTTTCACAGGGACATGTCTGTCCTACACTCTAATCACCCTCTCTTTAAAAGCCTCCCACATATCAAATGTGGATTTACCCTCAAACAGCTGCTGCCAATCCACAATCCCCAGCTCCTGCCAAATCTTGCTATAGTTGGCCTTCCCCCAATTCAGCACTCTTCCTTTAGGACCACTGTCGTCTTTGTCCATGAGAATTCTAAAACTTATGGAATTGTGATCACTATTCCCAAAGTAATCCCCTACTGAAACTTCAACCACCTGGCCGGGCTCATTCCCCAACACCAGGTCCAGTATGGCCCCTTCTCGAGCTGGACTATTTACATACTGCTCCATAAAGAGAGGGGTCTCCTAATTGAAACATACAAAATTCTTAGGGTAAGTGCAGAGAGTTTTTTTTCTAACCTTTTTGGGAGAGTCTACGACCAGAGGGCATCATCTTAGAGTAAGGAATCACCCAATTAGGAAAGAAGTGAGGAGGAATTTCCTGTCTCAGTGGGTAGTGAATCTGTGGAATTCTTTACCGCAGTGGGCTGAAGAGGCTGGGTCGTTAAGTATATTCAAGGCTAAGAGAGACTGATTTATAATCAGTAGTAATCAAGGGTTATGTGCTAAAGGCAGGAATGTGGAATTCAGGGTTCAGATTAGCCATGATATCATGAATGTCAGAGCAGACTTGATGGGCTGAATGGCCTGCTTCTGCTCCTACATGTTATTTCTTATGTAGCTTACCAGCACTTTCTCATAGACAATTAGAAATTGGCAATTAATACTTTCCTCCACACCCAATAAATGAAAGAAAAGTAACATAAATAATTGAAAATAAGTGCATTAGAAAATGTATATTAAAAACTTGGCATTTTTTGTTAGCAGAGTTGGAAATTTACTGTCCATGTGTTGACTCCGGAAACTGTTGTCAGTTTCAGAGGAATAGTGAAGGCAAATGCTAACCCACTGTCGTTACTACAACAAACATCAGGACTTCAGAAATTAAGAATATCACTAGCTGAAGTAGTATCACCATTTTTTGATAAGACTTTAGAAAGACTTGAGAAATTATGCACTTGAGTAAGAAGTGTGTTTTGCTGATATTAATTTACATCTCTTTTTTAACCATTAATACTGAATGTCGTAAAATAGCTTTAGAGAAACAGATTTGCGAATTATCTGAGAACCAATGTTCCACCAATATAAAAAAAGTGTTATTTAAAATAACTTTTTTGTGTTTATTGTAAAAGGACTTTATTAATGTGTCAGAACAACAACATAAAAATGCCATTTAAAAAAGTCTGGAAAAGAAATTAGCTTTTATAAAATTAACAATAGACCATTCAGTAAGCGACAGTCTTGAACATGACTCCATATAACCATCTTTGCCCCGTACGCAATATTGATGAATGCAGTTTATGCTGAAGGATCGACTATTGATATTTTTCATTTTTGAAGAATTTAATTGAATATGAAATTAACATAGATACATGTACCTGGAAATCCGGACTTTTAAGTGTTTCTGAATTTGTAAACATTTGTTTGAAGTCCAGAATAAAGTTCTCACTATAAGTAGATTTTATATGTAGACTGTCATTGCAGATGGTTTGATACTGATCAAAGAAGTGAAGGTGAGAATGTATAGTATGAATGTAGCTCTGCTCATTAAAAAAATTGAGAGTGTTATACAAATAACTTTTTAGCATTACCATTTATCCTGTTGTTTGCTTCTTTGGAAGATCACTAAAGCCTTTTTTGCCAAATATTTGCATTTTTTGTGCAGGATAACATGCCAATTTTTAAATCATTGCAATCAATGCTTATCCTTGAATCTATATGTTATATATAACTGCTAAAATTTAAAATGAGCAAAAAAAAACACTTGTAGAGAAATAAACAGATAATTCCCTGTCATTATGGTTCCATTGAAGACACCTTTTATTATAATTTACGAAGCTAAAATGAAAGTTTTGTCTTGTTTTATGTAATAAGGCATGAGGTAGAAGAAATGTTATACTTCAGAGATTTATTTTCAACCAGAATTGATTATAGTTTTCCTGTTTTTGTGATTGGTTCCAGCTAATGATCAATAACGTAAGAAAGACCACATTTAAATGTAAAAGATGTTTGGCTGTCTCTTCGGGCAATGTTGCAACAGTAGATTCTAACAGCAGGCTAATCCATAGCCATCAGTTTTCACTATCATTGAAAATAATATCTGTTTACATAAAACTCAGTTTTGTGCAGCTTTCGATAAAAGTGTTTATTATTATGCATTTGTGGTGTCCTAATTTTAGAGAGAGTCCCTTCACAATATGAATGGCTAAAGATATTATATTTCAGACATTTTAGAAACCACAAAAGTGTTGATCAAGAGGAGAAAATAAAAATGTTTCAACTAACAACCCAATAGACAAGACATGAATCCAAGAAAAGTAGGGAATATGATCAAATGAACCCTCAAATGCACATTGCTTGAATTGCTTGGTCATTCACATCAAGATTTTTTCCACTCATTTTAAGCTAGTTTATTCTTCAGCCATGGAATGTGATAATTAATGGCATGACCAACGTTTAATGTCCATCTCTAATTGCCCTTGAGAAAGTTCAGCTGCATTCTTGCACTGCCACAATCATGTTGCAAAGATTCTCTCTATGGTAAGGAATTCCAGGACTTTGACTCAGGGATGATGAAGGAAGAGCAATATATTTGCTCGTCAAAGTGCTCTGTGGCTTGGATAAAAACTTGCATTCTCCAGAATTCTGTCTATGAAAGCAACTGCCAACATTGAAATGATAAAATTCAGCAGAAGTCTTAATGTTGCATGGAACTGTACTCAGCTGTCAGAAATTCAACTGCTCTGCAACAATATCACATCTCTACACTTATTATTTGAGTTACAGTTTGAAAATTAACATGAAATGAATTAAAGGACGTAAGTTCCTCTATTTTGTAACACTGCGCCTATCTGTCACTTCATGGCCTACACTGTTCATCTGCAATTGTTAGTGATTATGTGTCAGACATATTTAGCTATTGGTAAGTAATGAGCCATATGCCATTAAATGTTGTGTATCATGGCAGGTTTTGGAAGACATTCAGATCCTGTCACAAGAAGACAGTTCCCTCATGGTGCCTACAGACTGGATTTTGAGGATGACAATCGTGGCTGGAGATTTGATATGGACATGGTTATCATTTATATCTATTCTGTCAATTGGGTCATTGGATTCATAATTTTTTGCTTCCTCTGCTACTTTTTCTTTCCATCTTTTTAAATTGGTGCGTTAGCACCTTGGCAAAGTGAGGATTGAGAAAAAAATGGATTCATGTAATGTTGATCAGTAGCAAGTTTTCATTGAACAAGTTTTCTTATGTATGGCACATTTTCAGTTGAAGACCCCTGGGGACATAATAAGGGAAGATATATTTGAAGACATAAATTTGCAATGTTCTTTCTAGTTGCAATTACCTTCTGCGTTATTAACCATGACTGTTGAAATCCAAGCTGCCATTAGTGGAGTCTGCAGAGTGCAGTTAATACAATTTACCCTAGATACAATTTCCATAAAAAATTAAATACTATTTGGACTTAGTTCAAAAATTTGAATGTAACCAACTCAAAGCACAATTAATTTATTCCATGAAAATAACTTTTGGCATTTATTCCCTCTGCCAAGAAACTATTGTCTAAAGATTAATACTGCCAGTAACTGGAGATAGTGAAGAATACAGCCTGTTAAAAACCAGAATTGTATTGCAAGTTTTAGACAAGTCGCTTTTATTTGTTTAAGCTTATTCTTCAAATTTAAATGTGAACAGAATGTTAACAATGTATTAGATACCCAAAAGTAAAAATATTGGTGCATTGAAACAAGTTTAAAATAATTTCTTATTTAATCTTGTTTCTAATTTTATTTAAAATTGCTAATTAAACATTAACATTTCCATTTAAATAAAGATTAGAAAGATAATGGTCAATAAATTTTACTTTAGTAATGGTTTCTGATAGAAATATTAAAATCACTTGTTTTAACTTAATAATTAGTGTTTCCTATTGTGGTGTAGTTTGATCAGAAAGAAGATCTTTATTATCGTTCTTGACCTGTATAAATGCTAGATAGCACTTTTTTACTTCCTTTTGATTTTTCCCGTAATTATAATTATTAAGAGATCAATGAAAGATCCTTGACGATTGAGAAAACATTGTCTCCACTATTCCAACTTCATACCCTTTGTAGCAATGGAATCTATTAGACCAATTTTCATGAAGGGCAGACATGAGATCAGCAGTCATGCCCAGGGAAACTGATGAGAAATTGGAATTCTGTTATGATTGGGTGTCATTTGAATCGGACGTAACAGCTACTAACGATTGTTGATAGGTGACTTGCCTGTCTGATTAGTGAGAAATCACGAGGGCAGTCATACAGGATTACAGTCCAATTTAGTGAGGCTACACACTTAAGATTCTCGTAGCAAAATTATCACTATTGATTCTACTGCCACAAATGAGACGAACTAAATATTCTTTTAGATTCTTTTCTAACCCATTACTGCTATGTTCCTCTCCTTTAAAATGGATAAATACTTCCTTATGGCACCCTGTGTCAACAATTACTAGGAAAGATTACAAGGGGTCAGGGCTAGCCCCTGATCAAAAATAGTCTATTGAAAACATCTACTGCACTTACCTGCCAAGTAGAAAATCTGGAGTCGGAGGCCAAGTGCCAGAAATGTTGTCCAGTAATTTTATAAGAAGACTCCTCTGGAGAAGAAGTAATGAAGTGTTTGAAACTTTCAAATAAAGATATAAATGAAGGGAGGGACTCTCTCCCTAGCATTTTTGGGTAGTTTGATATTTGCCATGTTGTGACTCCAACAGAAATAACCTTGCGGTCTTCTTGCTGTGTATGCTCATTGGTTTTACAAGTTGTTGACACTTTTTTTTTCATTTCCTCTTGCTGAATTTAATTTTTTTGTTATTGTGTTTTGCTTTTTTCCCTTTTTCCTTTTTCTTGAATTGTAACTTTTTTACTGGTTTGCAACCATACCCAGTGGTAATATGGGCATTCCATTTGGATTTCCTTTTGCTATTAGCAAATCGAGAAAGGAGTTCCAAGGGAATGATTAAAGCAGGGACACCTGAGATGGGTATATCAACCAGTGTTATCAAATACATATATAATCGTGGAGACAGTAGCACAGTGGTAATCGAAGTACATTAGTATCCCAGAGGCTCAGGCATTATTCATTTCTCATCATGGCAGCTACTGAAATTTAAATTCAATTAATAAAAAAATGAAATTTAAAATTGGTCTCAGTTATATTGACTATGAAATTATGATGATTTTTGTAAAAACCCATCTGACTCATAATGTCATTTCTGAAGGGAAATGTGCCATGCGATTCCAGATCCACAGAACTGTCCTCAAAGGCCAGCAAGCCACTCCATTCAAAAGCAATTAGAGCAGGATCAAATACTGGCCTATCCCACAACATCCATATCCCATGAAAGAATGAAGAAACATAAAAGAAGATTCAGAGGTTCTGCCATACATGCATGTGTTAATGGGATTGTGTAATTCAGGTACCATCTTGTACAAACAAACTAATTTGAAGATGTTAAAAGTTGAAAGAAGCATAGACATATGTATATATAGTGATAGATATGCTCAATCCACATATAAAATATGAACAGGTGTACGCCATTCAGCCCCTCAAGCCTGTTCGGCTATTCAATAAGATCATGACTGATCTGGCATTCCTCACGTCCACTTTCCTACATTTTTCCCATAACCATTTTCCCCAACTAATCAAGAAACTATCTATTTCAGCCTTAATTATACACAAGGACTATGTCATCACAGCTCTCTGTGGCAAGGAATGCCAAAAACTCTCAACCTTCTGACAGAAAAAATTACTCCTCATCTCAGCCTTAATTTGGCACGCCTTAATTCTGAGACTATACCCTCTAGTCGTAGACTGTACCGTGGGAGGGTAACATCCTCACAGCATTTACCCTGTCAAACCCTTTAGGAATCCTGTATGCTTTAAAATGTGCCCCTGGGTTAAGTTTCCTTTCACTTAATTTCTGCCTATCACTTCACAATACCCAATTTCTCAATACTGCTAGCTAACTGGTTCAAAAATGTGACAATAATTTGCACATTATACCAAGAAGACCTTTCTTCTTAATTCACCTGCTTGCAGTTTGAGGAGTTAAATTAACTTTTTGTTACTTATTCCTCGTAGGATGTGGTTTATTTCCTGTCATTAATTGCCATAGAGAAGGTAGTGATGAGCTGCTTTATTGAACTGGCAGGATCCATAGAGTGTGAGAACACCCACAGTGCTTTTGGAAAGAAATTTCCAGGATTAAACCCAGCAACAAGGAACTGCAAAAGGGTTCATCAGGATGGTGTGTGAGTTGGAGGGAAAGCTATCCTTCTAAGTGGTAGAGGTCGCTGGTATTTATTATGCTTTTGGAGGAGCCGTGTTGAATTACAGCAGTACGTCTTATAGATAGTACACACTGCTGCCATTTTGACTCAGTGGTAGAGGGAGAGAACATTGAAGATAGTCAATTTACAGGTCAGTTTCGTGCGGGGCAGATCATGCCTCACTAACTTGATCGAGTTTTTTGAGGCGGTGATGAAGATGATTGATGAGGGAAAAGTGGTTGATGCTGTCAACACAGACTTCAGTAAAGCCTTTGACAAGGTCCCTCATGGCAGACTGGTACAAAAGTCATATAGTATCGGGAATGAGCTAGCAAGATGGATACAGAACTGACTTAGTCATAGGAGACAGAGGGTAGCGATGGATGCTTTTCAGAATGGAGGACTGTCACTGGTGGTGCTCCACAGGGATCATGCTGGGATCTCTGCTGTTCATGGTCTACATAAATGATTTGGAGGAAAATGTGGCTGGTCTAATTAAGTTTGCGAATGATACAAAGATTGGTGGATTTGCGGATAGTGAGGAGGATTGTCAGAGAATACAGCAGATATAGATCAGTTGGAGGCATGGGCAGAAAAATGGCAGATGGAGTTTAATCCAGAAAAATGTGAGGTGATGCATTTTGGAAGGCCAAGTGCAGGTGGAACTTATACAGTGAATGGCAGAACCCTTAGAAGTATTGATGTGCAGAGGGATCCGGGTGTGCAAGTCGCAGATCACTGAAGGTGGCAGTGCAGGTAGATAAGGTGTTAAAAAAAGTGCTTGACTTCATTGGAATGGACATTGAGTTTAAGGATAGGCAAGTTATGCTGCAGCTTTATAGAACTTTATTTAGGCCACACTTAGAAAATTGCATACAGTTGTGGTCATCACACTACCGGAAGGATGTGGATGCTTCAGAAAAGGTATTCATTTGTGGGATGTGGGCATTGCTAGCTGGCCAGCATTTCTTGCCCATCCCTGGTTGCCCTTGAGAAGGTGATGGTGAGCTGCCTTCTTGAACCGCTGCCGTCCACCTGCTGTGGGTTGACCCACAATGCTGTTAGGGAGGGAATTCCAGGATTTTGACCCAGCAACAGTGAAGGAACGGCGATATATTTCCAAGTCAGGATGGTGAGTGACTTGGAGGGGAACTTGGACTTGGTGGTGTTCCCATATGTCTGCTGCCCTTGTCCTTCTAGATGGAAGTGGTCGTGAGTTTTGGAAGATGCTGTCTGAGGATAGTTGGTGAATTTTTGCAGGGCATCTTGTATATAGTACAAATTGCTGTTACTGAAAACTCGATTGGGAGATAGCTCTCCCAATTTTGGCACTAACCCCTGAATGTTAGTGAGGAAGACTTTGCAGGGTCGACAGGGCTGTTTCTGCTGTTGTCTTTTCCGGTGCCTAGGTCGATACCAGGTGATCGGCCCAGTTTCATTTCTTTGAGACTTTGTAGCGATTGGTATAACTGAGAGGCTTGCTAGGCCATTTCAGAGGGCAATTGAGAGTCAACCACATTGCTGTGGGTCTGGAGTCACATGAAGGCCAGACCAGGTGAGGGTGGCAGATTTCCTTCCCTGAAGGACATTATTGAACCAGATGGGTTTTTCCAACATTCGGCAATGATTTCACGGTGATCAGTAGATTCTTAATTCCAGACTTTTTTTATTATTTCAAATTTCACCATCTGCCGGGTGGGACTCGAACCTGGGACCCCAGAACATTGGCTGGGTTTCTGGAATTTCTAGCAATAATACCACTAGGCCAGTGCCTACCCTGTTTAGCAGAATGTTGCCTGCTGTGGGAGATTTTAGCAATGAAGAAAGGTTGGATCAACTGGATTTGTTTTCATTGGAATGCAGGAGGTTGAGGGGCGACCTGATAGAAGTTTATAAGGTTGTGGATGGATACAGTGGAAAGCATGAGGCTTTTTCCTAGAGTAGAGGGGTCAATTCCTAGGGAAATAGGTTCAAAGTGCAGGGATGGGAGGTAACGTTTAAAAGAGATGTGCGAGGCAAGTCTTTCACACAAAGGGTGGTGAGTGCCTGGAATGCATTGCCAGAGGAGGTGGAGGAAGCGGACACAATCACAGCATTCAAGCACCTGGACAAATACATGAATGGGAAGGGAATAGAGAGATACGGATCCTGGAAGTGAAGACAGTTTTAGAACAGAAGGGCAAAATATGTTGGCGCAGGCTTGGAGGGCTGAAGGGCCAGTTCCTGTGCTGTATTGTTGTTCTTCTTCTTTGGAGATGGTGGAAGGGGTCCTAATCAAGTTGGACTGCTTTGTTTTAGCTGGTGTCAAGTTACTTGAATGTTGTCCAGGCAGGTGAAGAGTATTCCATCAAACTCCTGGCTTTGTAGATGCGAACAGGGCTTTAGTGTGTTAGGAGAATCATAGAATCCTTACAGTGTGGAAAC